CTTCTGCGACTCTGGGCCAATTACCCGGAGATGGGGAGTTCTAGTCCTGCCTTAGACATGAAAGCTGGCTGTGCGACTCTGGGCCAATTACCCGGAGATGGGGAGTTCTAGTCCTGTCTTAGGCATGAAAGTTGATTGGGTGACTTTGGGCCAATCACCAGGAGATGTGGGAGTTCTAGTCCTGCTTCAGGCGTGAAAGCCAGCTAGGTGATTTTGGGCCAGTCCTACTCTCCCAGCCCTAGGAAGAAGCAATGCTACATCCCTTCGAAAATCTTTGCAAGAAGCTGCCAGGAATCCACGCCGGCTCAAAAGCGCACACACACAAACAAGCACACAACACACACAAAAGGGTGTGTTGCTTGATCCACTGGAAGATTTATTACTGTCAGCTCAATAGATCAGATTAAGAAGACGACACCCTGTCGGCATTACAATATTATAATAGAAATGTAATATTGTAATAGCTATAGTGATGGTCCCACAAGCTTTAAAACATGTCCCCTTCCCCGCCTTTCTCTCCATACAAATTGGGGAGGGGCTTCTCTGAAATAGTTTCTTATATTGTTTTCTTGGTCAGGGTTGAAGCCCCTCTTATCTAACCATTGTTTTGGTAGCAACTGTTCCTGCTGTCCATAAAGCCGTTTTGTGTTTCTCAACCACGGCCATTTTAAGAGGCGTGGACTTCAACTCCCAGAATTCCCCAGCCGCTCTGTGCCCTCTACTATTATTTCTTCTTGGTTTAGCTACGCTTCTCCGAGGGGTACCGTCCAGATAGCTTGGATGTTAAGCCCCATCATCCTCAGCCAGCACTACGAAGACCTGTTTTACAGCACACCCGGATCAGTGGTGGCATGTGACTGGTTTGGACCGGTTCAGCCAAACCGGTAGTAAAAACGATCAGCTGAGGGGAGAAAGAAGAGAAAACCGCAAGAACGGCCCTGCCACTTGCCCCTTGCGCTTTTCTCTTCTTTCTCCTCCTGGTGGCGCTGCAGGCCTCAGCTGGTGTGTGGGAAGCTGCGCATGTGAGTTAGGTGTGTGTGCATTAGGTACGCACGCAATCACCAAACCAGTAGTGGTCCTGGTAGGATCCCACTGCTGACCTGGATGGAAGATTGCCAATAATTAAGGAGAATCCATTCAACTCCTTCAGGTTCAAAGGAATGGCTAAGAGGCTCACAGTCATTTGTCTAAAATAGTATAGGAGATTGGACTAGAACAGGGATCACTAACCTTTTGGACCTCAGGGACCACCAAACTCATAATTTTAAAATCCCATGGACCACTAATATGAATTTTGACTGACGGTGGCTTGCTGATGTTTTCCCAGGGTCTCTGCAGAAAGTAGCAGAGACCCTGGGAAAAACCCCCAAAAAAGTCTGCAGGAAAATTCTCCATCCTGTTTTCCTACCGATCGATCATTCTTTATTTGGGATTGTCTCCAGCTCTGTTCTCAGGTGGAGAGAGAGAGAGAGAGAGAGAGAGAGAGAGACTTTTGGCTTCATGCAAGAAAAGCAGCAGGAGCAGCAGAAGTCTTTCTCTCTCTCCCCCAAATGAGAGAAATGAGTCTTTGCCGGCACAGCCTCTTGGAGCAGGAGGCCTTGCAGGGTCCCAAAGACTCATTTCTGGCAGAGTTTGGGGGGAGAGAAAGAAAGACTTTTGCTGCTTTCCTTGCGTGCAGCCAAAAGCAGAAGAAGAAAGAAGCGGAAAGAAGCAGCCCAGTGGCCAGGCCAGGCACGCGGAGTGAGTGGGGCAAGTCCTCCCCTCCATTCTTTCCCCCCTCCCTTCACTACCTCGTCTTGTTTGCAATGCAAGCGACACAAGCCTTGTGTTCCCGTGGGCCATGTGGGCAGTGCAGCCTTGTGTTCCCGTGCAGCCTGGATTAATTGCTTTGGGGATGACATTTCTCTGCGGGACCACCAACATTTTCTCGCAGACTACCAGTGATCCCCGGCCCACTGGTTGGCGACCACTACACTAGACTAGAGGACCTCAAAGGCCCCTTCCCACTCTGTTATTCTAAAGATTTGGAATGATCACACTTGGTCCAGAAAGTAATCGAGCAGGATGAGATTACTACCTTGCCGCTTTCTGTTTCCGCAGTGACTTTGCCACCTTCTTTGGAAATGATCTTGGCCTTCACAAATTCCTCTTTGATGTCCGGCACGAAGACGTCCTTCTTCAAGTCGAACGGCCGAGTCTGAGTTTCGATGCGAAGCTTTTCTGACAAGCGCAGGAACGGGGCGGCGGCCCCGAAATCAGACGTCTCGACATCCATGGTGGGAGCTGCGAAAGAAACCAGGTAGAACATGGGATCTGCAGGCCGTGATGCTCTCGTGGTGGGCAGGTGGTAGGATCCGCACCTGCCAGCCTTGGGGATAAGTTTGAATGAGCGGCCTTTGGTGCCTCCCTGAGCTGGGTGGCTTTCTTGCAGACATTTCATGGCCCAACTAGGGAACGTCATCAGTGCTCGTAGGAGGAGGGAGGAGGAGGAGGAGGAGGAGGAGGAATGAAGGGTCCTTGGTGCTCTCTGAGCTTGGTGGTTTCCTTGCGGATGTTTAATGACCAAACTAACATCTTCAGTACTCGAAGGAGGAAGAGGAGCGGGGAGGAGGGGGAGGAAGAGGAGGAAGAAGAGGAGGAGGACTGAAGGGTCCTTGGTGTTCTCTGAGCTTGGTAGTTTTCTTGCAGATGTTTCATGACCCAATTAGGTAACATCATCAGTGCTCAGAGGGGGAGAGGGAGGAAGAGGAGGAGGGGGAGGGGGAGGAAGACTGAATGGTGCTCTCTTAGCTTGATGGTTTTCTTGCAGACGTTTCATGACCCAACTAGGTAACATCATCAGGACTAGGAACGCTTAAGAGATGCAATCTGCAATATGTCATTCACAAGAGAACCACTAGAGGGCACTCTGAGCTAGGCCAAGATTTGAATAGTTCTGCTTCCCCCCCCCTCAGGTGTACAACACTGGAACTGCACCTCATTTAATCCCTCTCCTTCCACTGCAAATATGCTGTCCCCTGCTGGCTGTTAGCAGAATTGCACTGTTTTAGAAATCAGCTTTAGGTAGGGCTGCAGCCTGAACAGCTGGGACTGGAGTGTGAATAGATATACTACTAGGAATAGATCGCTCTCTGGGTCAGAAATAGCTACTCATGATAGTTACCCTTTGATTTTAGAGGATTTCACAAGAGAAGAACCGGGGACACCTCAGGCCAGACACCTGTTGTGGAAAAGAGACTTGTTAGTACAATATACACTGCAATCCTTTCCTCCAGCCACCCAGGTATCCGTTCTGCCAGAATTATTCAGATATATATTTAAGGAGGAAAAAAAGTATTGGGAGGAGAGAACCTGCAATATATAGATTTTTATATATTTTGTGAAAGTTTGGATTCTGAGGTATATTTCCGCAGTGTATGATTAAGGAAAGAACTAAACCTCAAAAAGTTGGTTTTTATTTTGCTTTCAGTCGGACGCGCTGAGAATGGCAACCATGTGTTCTCAAGGCAGCGAGGATTACAAAATCCATGTTTCTCAGCCAGCGATGGGAGTTGTAGTCCCAATTACTTTGAAAGCAAAAGAAGGGGTCTCGGAGTGCCTTTTCTGATGATTTTATTAAAGGGATGAGGGAGGGAGGAAGGAAAGAAGGAAGGAAAAGGAAAGGAGGGATGGAAGATAGAGAAGGAAGGAAGGAAGGAAGGAAGGAAGGAAGGAAGGAAGGAAGGAGAGGGAAGGAGGGAGGAGGAAAGAAAGGAAAGAAAAGGAAAGAAGGTGGGGGGGAGGGAAAGAAAGAAAAGAAAAGAAAAGAAAAGAAAAGAAAAGAAAAGAAAAGAAAAGAAAAGAAAGAAAGAAAGAAAGAAAGAAAGAAAGAAAGAAAGAAAGAAAGAAAGAAAGAAAGAAAGAAAGAAAGAAGGGGAAGCTAGAGGTCTCAGAGTGCCTTTTCTGATGATTTTATTAAAGAAATGAGGAGGGAAGGAGGGAGGGAGTAAGGAAAGAAAGGAGGAAGGAAGGAAGGAGATTGCAATAAGAAAAAGGAAAGGAAAGATAAGGACATTTCTGAATTAAAAGATAGACTAGGGCGTGAAAATGTAGAATATTCTTGGCCAAAAATGAGACTGTTTCAAGGGAAGAATTTTCCTCTTTACAGAAGGTGTGATGCCAGCTCATCCTTCCCTTGCCTGGCTCCTCCAGCTGAGCTGGACTACATCTCCCATGTTCCCCAACTGGGGGAAAGATTCAGCTGGAGCAAGGAAGGATGCCACTGGCTTATAGATGGCAATATCCCCACCACCACTAGCAGGTGCCAGAGATGCCCAGTGGACATGGCTACTACCAGCTCACCCCCTACAATCCCTTTTTCCTTCTCCTACCCCCATCCCCCCGAAAAAAATTCAAGAGGGGGCGATGCACGTAAACCTCGCATCGCCCCCTCCCCTCCTGCAACTTGGCCTCCACGACACGCGTCCCATTCCCACAACCCCAGCAAGATCCGTGTTGATCATTTCTGAACGCCAAAGAAAACCTCACCGTTCCCACCTGAAGCACGCATTCGCTATGGGGAACTCCCTCACCCCACATTTTGGGGGGGCTGGAAGGCTACAACAGGAGGGGGGGGGAGGTCTTACCTGAAACCAGCACGGAAGGGGTGGGGTTCTAAGCAGGGTGCCTGGCCGGGACCCTGGTTATAAACCCCCAATCCCCCCGCCCCCTCCTCTTGGCCGGCCTCATATGGACAGGCAGACCCATCTCATCTCCCCCACCTCCCTCCCCACATCTCCAGCCTGGCCCCGAACAATTGGAAGTGTCATCATTGTTGTGGCATGAAGAATAGGAACAGGTTCAGGGAGGAGGAGGGGGAAAGAGAGACTTCAAAATATCTTGGAACAACAGGGCTGAGATTCCAGAGGGAGGGGGAGAAGGAGAGAGGGGGGGGTCCCAAGAAGGAGATATAGGGGGAGAGAATTTGCGCAGTGGCTACTCCCAATGGCTCATTGGCTTCGCTACAGAATCCTCTCCTTGCATGCAACCTCGATGCAAAATTGTAGTTGCAACCTATCTAAAATTAATAGTTAAATTACATTGCAGGTATGAAATCTGGACTGCAATGCTCCAAATGCCCACTAGAGGGCTGCAGATGGTGCTTTATACTGCTCTCTCCTGGACACGTGGAGTATTGCAGCCTAGTTGTACATCATATAAATTTGGCGTCAGATGGCTCATTGGGTTCGCTACACAATCCTTTCCTCACTGCACAATCCTTTCCTTGCTACACAATCCTTTCCTACCTACACTGCAAGGTTGTTGTTGCAATCCATCTAAAAATAAAATAGTTATATTGTGAGTACCAAAACTGCAAAACTCCAGGTGCCCACTAGAGGCCTGCAGATCGGGCTTTATACCACTCTCTGGTGGACACAAGAAGCACTGCAGCCTAGTGTCTATGGAGATTCTCAGTTAATCCTGTTGGGATTGCAGCCTAATGCGTTGTAGTGCCCTCTCATGAACATGAACAGTATTGCAACCTAGTTATTCATCATCCCCTTTAAATTTATATTATTCTAACTATATACATTTGGAGCGCTGATGGCTCATCCAGAATCCTATCCTTGTGTACAACCTCACAGCAAGATTGTGGTTGCAGTCCCATCTAAAACTAAAAGGGTTAATTACATTGCGAGTAGCGATTCCAAACTGCACAGCTCCAGATGCCCACTAGGGGGCTGCAGATGGTGCTATATACGCCCTCTCGTGGTCATGAGGAGCCTAGTTGCACATCTTCCTCTCTATATTTATATTATTCCAGTTATATAAATTTGGAGCACTGATGACTCACAGGCTTTGCTACAGAACCTTCCCCTTGTACGCGACCTCGTGGAAAAATTATAATTGCAATTTATCTAAAGCAAAAATAATTAGTTACCTTCACCATCATCATCTTCTTCATTTAATGACCCCCACAATCTCTTGCGGAGTGGAGTCTGGGCAGCTGAATGCAGCAAGCAAGTATTTGAATGTCCGGATGCCCTTCCTGTCACCAATGAGAAGCTTTGTTCATCAAATATATCCTCATTGTGCCCAGAGAGAGAGAGAAATATCAGCCTCTACCCAGGATCAAACTCACAACCTTCTGATTGTGAGGCAAGAGGCCATTGCACCACTCCAAAAATAATAAATTACCTTGCAGGTATCAAATCTGGGCTACAATGCTCCAGATGCCCACCAGAAGGCGGCCGAGGGTACTTTATACCCCCTCTCATGGACATGGGGTACACTGCAGCCCCGTGCTTTATACCGCCCTCTCATGAACCCGTGGAGCAACTGCAGCCTAGTTATACATCACCGTCTCTATGCAGGTAGTCCTCAACATACGACCACAATTGAGCCCAAAATTTATGTTGCTAAATGAGACTTGTGTAAAGTGAGTTTTGTCCCATTTTACGACCTTTTTGGCCATTGTTGTTCAGTGAATCACTGCAGCTGTTAAATTAGTAACTTGGTTGTTCAGTGAATCTGGCTTCCCCGTTGGGTTTGCTCGTCAGAAGGTCGTAAAAGGGGATCGTGTGACACACACACCCCCCCCGGGACAATGTGACCGTCACAAATATGAGCCAGTTGCCAACAGCCTGAATTTTGACCACATGACATCGGGATGTTGCAATAGTTATAAATGTGAAAAACAATCGTAAGTCCCTTTTTTCAGCGATATTGTAACTTTGAAAGGTCACTAAATGAACCGTTGTAAGTTGAAAACTAACTGTATGTAAGGCAAGTTCAGCTCAGCTCAGGCTTGGTTTGGATGGGAGACCACTAAGAGACCATCCAAGAGTAGCTATACAGACATACATACAAACATACAAATCAGAAGCAATCTTCCTTTTGTCTCCAAATGATTTTTTTTAAAAAAAAATATTCTAGTTATATAAATTTGGAGCACTGATATCACTTGGGTGGAGAAATTAATACTAGGCTTTTTACCAAGTGGTTTTAAATGACAGAATTGGAGAACACGAAGAGTCTCAGTTTAGGGAGAATTATTTTCCCATTAAAATTGAAACTAACCTCCAGTTCTTCTTCAGAATGCAGAAAAAGAACAAACCAGGATACCTAGAGAAAATATTTCTCCTAATTTTTAACAATCCCACTCTATTATATTAGATTTAAAGCCAGAAATATTTTTGTTAGATACATTTCCAGAAAAACATGACAAAGGGAATGTATATTTAATATTACATATTTTGACTGCAGCGAGAATTGTATTTGTACAAGACTGGAAAAATGAGGAAATCCCTACAGATGAAAACATAATTTTAAAAAAATATTCGTTTGTGCGGAAATGGATAGGTTAACATTAAAGATAAAAAACAAAGAAGATACAGAATATTTTTTTTAACTTCGGATTGCTTTTACCAATGGTTAGATAAGGGGGCAATTAGAAGTTGGAAGAATACCACTATACACAAGTAAAGAATATTATTATTACTGCCATATTATTATGTATGTGTAAATCAACCCAGACAATACACTGTTTATTAAATACTCATTTATGTTAAAGAAAAATGTATAAATAATTTTTAAATGCCATTACATTATAATTATATTCTTCCCATTCTCCCCGTTAATGAAGAAAGATTTGCACAACCTACAACTTTCTTAGATATAATTTCAGGGTGAATTCCACTCCCAACCATCAGCGGAGTTACAAATCTTAATTATTTCAGATTTCCATTTTGCATTCCCGGCTTAAATCCCTGCTGGGGGGGGTGGGAATGGTCTGTTAGAAATGCCTCCCCCTCCCACCTATACCCCACACCCAGGAACCAATAATAGCAACCTGGGAGGGCTTCTAAAATAGGAAGTGGTATGTGATGACAGTTTGAACAATATCTCTTGTAATCCCACATCTCTGAGCCAAAGGACGTCCCTCTGGCTTAAAAGCGAATCATCGCCGTAATAATTCATGGAGGAAAGTAAGCAATGGCGTACCACAAGGTTCTGTCTTAGGCTCAGCACTCTTCATTATCTTCATAAATGACTTAGATGAGGGAATTGAAAGGCAACTTACCAAATTTGCAAATGATACTAAGCTGGAAGGAATAGCCAACACCCTAGAAGATAGGGTCAAGATTTATTTATTTTATTTATTTATTTGATTTGTCAATTGTTTACAAGATAATAAGTATAAGTGTATACATAGTTGTGAATACATGAGATGGGTACATATAAGGAAAATAAAAGAATAGAGAAACAATAGGACAGGGACGGTAGGCACGTTGGTGCGCTTATGCACGCCCAGATCCAGAAGGATATCGACAGACTCAAACCCTGGGCCCTCTCTAACAAAATGAAATTCAACGTAGAGAAAAGTAAAGTACACATATAGACTGGGGTGAAACCAGGCTCAATAGCAGTAACTGGGAGAGGGATCTTGGAGTCTTAGTGGACAACCAGTTAAATAGGAGCCAGCAGTGTGCAGCAGCAGCCAAAAAAGCCAATGCAATCCTAAATTGCGTTAACAGAGGGATACAATCAAGGGAGGTAGTAATACCACTCTGTAAGGCCTTATTAAGGCCACACCAAGAGTACTGCATCCAGTTTTGGTCACCACACTATAAAAAAGATGTTGAGACTCTAGGAAAAATCCAGAGAAGAGCAACCAGGATGATGAGGAGACTGGAGGCTAAAACATATGATGAACGATTGCAGGAACTAGGCCTGGCTAGTCTAGGGAAGAGAAGGACCAGGGGAGACAGATAAACAGATAAACAGATAACCAGAGTTGGAAGGGACCTTATAGGTCATCTAGTCCAACCATCTAGTCCAAGCTCCCACAACTTCTGAAGGCAACTTTTGTTCCATGGGTTGATTGTTCTCACTGTCAGAAAATTCCTCCTTATTTCCAGGTTGAATCTCTCCTGGATCAGTTTCCATCCATTATTCCTTGTCTGGCCTTTGGATGCTTTGGAAAATAGCTTGATTCCTCCCTCCTCTCTGTGGCAGCCCCTCAAATATTGGAAGACTGCTATCATGTCTCCCCTGGTCCTTCTCTTCACAGGATAGCAGTCTTCCAATATTTGAGGAGCTGCCACAGAGAGGAGGGGGTCAAGCTATTTTCCAAAGCACCTGAAGGCCAGACGAGGAATAATGGATGGAAACTGATTCAACCTGGAAATCAGGAGAAATTTTCTGACAGTGAGAACAACCATCAACCCATGAAACAGAAGTTGCCTTTGGAAGTTGTGGGAGCTTCATTACTGGAGGCTTTCAAGAAGAGATTGGACTGCCATTTGTGAGAAATGGTATAGGGTCTCCCGCTTGGGTGGTGGGTTGGGCTAGATGACCTATAAGGTCCCTTCCAACTCTGTTAAATCTGTAAATCTGTTCTTATCGCAGGTAGTCTTCAACTTACAACCGTTGGTTTAGTGACCAAAATTACAACAGCCTGGGGAAAAAAGTGATCTGCTTAGTGGCAAGAAAGTTCATCAAATGGGACAAAACTCACTTAACAACCACCTCACTTAGCAGCTGAAAATTGGGGGCTCAATTGTGGTCGTACATCAAGGACTATTTGTAGTTTTAAGGAAGAGACTTCCTGTGGGAAATTAAAGCTGAGAAATGACTTGCCAGAGGCCGGGAAAAGAAAC